TGCTGGGAGGATGGGAGCAGTGGTGCTGCTGGCGGTGGTGGCGACGGCTTTTGTTGGCTGCAGAGGTGAGTAACTGCTTCCTTGCATGAGCAGAAAAATCGAAGAACTAAGAGGGTAGGAGAATTCTTTTCTATTACGATGTCCTGCTTTTTAAAAGTTGTGAAGTGTGGAAAGCCATTAGTTTCTTGAAAAATAGAGCTTGAGAGTTCACAAGTCTCCTTTGGGAAGACTCCTATCAGGGACACCCAGCTGCTTCAAGAGTGCAGCAGACAGGGCAGAGTTAGGCAGCTTGGCTCCATGTGCCACAGCAGGATCAAAACAGGACCTTTCAGGATCCTTGTGGAGGACATACTCTGATGTGGTGTTACCTTCCAAAGCTGTCTTTGTGAAGCTGGAATGTTGTGAAGCTGGAATGAGGATAAATGAAATATCACAAAGTCTGCACGCCCTCCTCCTGTGCCCATTTGAGTCTTGGCAGTGTTTATTCGGCTGAGACAGACACCAACCAAGGAATCTAGGTCAGAGCTGAAGTTCTCCAAGGCTAATGCAAAAAGATTGGGTTTGATATACTGTTCCAAATCCATTAGTCCAGACCAGTAAAGGCAGATACCTGCCTGCATAGTGCTTCCATGCCACCAGGAATGCTGGTGCTAGCAGGCTAGGAAGGAGGTACTCAACTCTTTTACAAACAGACTGGAGTGTAAGAACTCTTTTCTTCTCTTTTTCATGCGTTGCTGATAATACAGATCTCTCTCGCTACTCTGCTGCTTCCAAACACAGCACAGCAGGTTTCTATCTATCCAGCTTTACCTCCCCCAGTATTGTTCTTCTGGAAGTCTCAGGAAGCATCTCAGTTTAATAAGCATCACAGGGAGGCAATGTTTCTTTTAAAAATACCATCTCAGGGATGAGTATTCTGCTGGTGCTGTCAGAAATAAGCTTCCACAGAGCTCAGTCCCAGCATCCCCCTCAGCTGCCCCTGTGGACGGAGATCCACAGACCCCCTCCACACCCAAAGGGCCACTTCTGTGGCTCAGACACAGCACTGCTGCACAGAGAAGGGCTTCTCCTTGTGCAGCTGCACTGCTGCCTCCATGAGCAACAGGGTAGTTTCGTAAGAAGCTAATGATGCTAAGGAGTGCAAACACTGAGTCTTACATGCACGCTTATTGCAGTGACACAGTAAATGTGATTTGTTCACCCTTCTTCCTGTACAGGCGGTACAGGACAATGCTGCAAGTGGTGCTGTCAGAACAAGCAGTGTCAGCAGTAGAGGTAGAAGCCACTGCTGTTTGTGTCATCCTGCAAGTGTAAGCAGAAAGCCAAGCAGCAGAAGTAGTGCGTGAAGGCTGCGGCTAGGGAGCAGGAATAAGAGATGCTCCTGAAGTTCTTGTGAAGGCTGCAGCTGTGATGCTGCTACTGGAGGTGGGATTTGTGCCTCTCAGTACTAAGAAGGAATTGAGAACTGGCCAGTGTCCAGAGAGAAGCAATAAGAATAGCCAGGAGTTTGATGTAACTGTTCACTTCCCCATGCTCAGTGAGATGGGGATAGCTCAGATTTAGCTGGCTGTGGTCTAGTGCATAACTAAGATGCTACCACATGCTGGCTTCCACTGCCTAGTGGCTTCTGTTGGTCCCAAGGGATGTTCCCCCCCTTCTGCTGCGTTCTTGTTTCTTCCCTTCAATTGTTGTTTCTTTGCAGCCTTCCTGGATCTGTCTGGTGCAGCTCAGGTCAAAGGGGTATGGATGGGATCCACCACTATACCATGTACCTACACGCCTTCCCAAGGTTTCACACAGCAGGTGCTCACCTGGAGCATGGAGAGAGACCTCAGCATCTCCACCATCTTTCGGAGGGATGATTCTGGTGACCACATCCTGTTGTCTCGGTTCCGAAACCGAGTCAGTGTCCCAAAGAGCAGCCCAGGGGATGCCTCACTCCACATCACAGACCTCGAAATTCCTGACAGCGGACACTACACCTGTCAAATCATCTGGAGGTCTGAAAACTACAGCCTGATAACAAAGGAGCTGACCACTATGGTTAAAGTCGCCAAAGGTAAATCCAGCAATAAAGCCTTGCCGTTGTATAATCTGCAGAACAATTTGGAGAAGAGGCAGTTCACCCCATTCTGCCTACCCATATCCAAGTTGGGTGCTGAGGTACCTGGATGGGAAGAGCCTTGTGCTCAGTTCTGTGCATTCAGGAAGGGGTAGCAGTGAGTCTGCACTCACCGTGGTGTGGATCTGCCAGTGGGACACAGATCCAGGTGGTGAAGCTAGCGCCCGGGACTGGGTCTGGTTCTGTGCAGATACCCAATGTCCCTGGCTCTTGTAGCACACAGGAATCGTGCTGGCCGACGTGCCTTCCCCCCTTGCCAAGCACTCTCAGTGTGTGTTTAAATAAAAAGCTCTTTCCTCAGAGGGGCTTTATGGCAATGTTGGGAAAGGCAACAACTCAGCAGAGCAGGCTGCTGTGGTGCAGCAGTGGCAGTAGGTGACACAGCTGGTGCACATCCAGCCATGGGCACAGCTGGACAGAGCGCAACCCAGTGGTGATGTCCTGGGAAAGGACCATGAGGATGGGAGTTGCTTTAGTGTGAGGGAAACCTTCTCCCACCACAGCCACCGTGACTCAGACCCACCTGCTTTGTCTTGTAGTGGCTGTGACCAAGCCCACCATTGTGGCTGGAGAGCTGGGGCTGGCGGTGCCGGTGGGAGCCAAGGCCAGCCTGACCTGTGTGGCCCAAGGGTCCCCCCCTATCAGCTACCGCTGGTTCCGGATGGCACCAGGCAGGAGTGGGCAGCTCCTGGGCAGCGAAGCTGAGCTGGTGTGGAGCAGCCTGCAGCCCTCCGACGCGGGGATGTACTACTGCGAGGTGCAGAACAGGGTCAATACAGGGGCGGTGCAGCGCAGTGATGCTGTTGAGCTGACAGTGAGAGGTGAGTCCCAGCCCTCAGCTCTTCATCGAGGCAGCCACAGAGGGGCTGCAGGGTTCGGGTGCATAATGCCAAATGTGGGTCGTGTCCTGCCTGCTTCAGAGTGCAGCAGGTCAGGCAGGGCCCAGGAGATGGCACCCAGCCCCTGGCAGCATGGCTGAGCAGGAGGGAGCTTGGCTCAGCCCTCAGCACACCGCATGGTGCCTGACGAGCCATGCTGGAATAGTAGAGCCAGTGCTGTAGTGCCTATGGAGGACGCCAGGTGCCCAGGAGTGGCTGAGGGAGCGCTGCATCCTGCTGGCACACCCTGAGCCTCCCTGCCCTGTTTCATTTGCAGATCTGTCTGTCACGACGGAGGCACGCCGCCCAGCCACAGGTCAGCAGGGAGCAATGTGTGGCCAGGGTGAGGGGCCGGGGGCTGGGAGCTGACCCAGCGCTTAGCAGTAACAGCAGCACTCTTGGGATAATGCTGAAGTCAGTCCGAAAGTCACCAAGACGACAAGCTGATGCAATGCCTGAAATCCTCCCCAAGAGCCCATGCAGACCGTGTACTGCTGCTTCGTTTCCTTACAGCAGTCTCTTGGCAGCCATCCATGGGAACACAAACTCAATGATGACCACATAAAACTGAGGAGGGGGAAGCTCACACTGATCTCTACAATTAGGCATGCCACCTTAGACTTCAGAAAGGACTGAACAGAAACAACAGATACAAATGAGACAAAAGCCACTGTAAAGCGGCTGCTTTCCTTGCTAAGGATATCTCCTCTGAGGAAGGATGCACAGTTGCCAGTTCATCTTTGTGGGTTGTGGGAACTCAGACCTGGGCTAGGGTAGATCCTCTTGTAGAAACTTTAACATTGAGGTCATTTCATCTGGACTGATCACATCCCACCATAGCAGGTCATGTAAATCGGCTTCAGCAGCTAGAAGTTAGGGGAAGGGGTTGCTTATTTCCAGAGCTTATCTATTTCCATGGCCTAGAAAAGGCAGATTGGAATTGCACTGCACACTTTTCATTCTTGTTGGTTTTGCAGATCTGCCTGAAGCAGCAGTGACTTCTGAGAATGCTGTGGGATACCCAGAAACAGATGAAACAACTCAGAGTAAGTTGAGACATCGGTGTAACTCTGAACAAGACTGGGGGACCCGAACTGACTGCTCAGTATCTTCCATTCCAAAGTTCATGTTCTGTATTTTGGCTACAAGTGGCATTGCTAGCTGTTCTCAAGGGACCTAGATGTTTTTTAGGGACTCTTAAAATAAACCAGATACTTCTAGGGAAAAAAGAAATACGTTCCATAATCAGAACATCCAGGCTTCTTGCAGCATTCCTGATCAGTAGTTCATTCTGGTCTCAAGGCTGGAGCAACAAAAAGGACTGTATGCAAGCTGACTCTCTGTACCTCAGCTAGGTTTGCAGTGCCATGGTAGGTTTGAATATGCTCCAAATACAATTGGACAGCATCCTTGAATGAAAAGTGTTGAGGGCACCACCTGAAAGCCTTTCATCCATGACATGCACTGCTCGCTTCTGCCCAGCTCACAGCTACAGCCCCAGCACTCAGCAGGAGGCTCTGGCTCACCCATGTGGGGCCAAATGGGCAAGATGCTGCTACATGGGGAGTAGCAGGGACAGTCAAGTAGCACACAACTGCACGCAGAGCTCAGGGGCTGGCTGGGCCTCCAGGATGTGGTCAGCACCATGTAAGTGCTGTTGCAGCTGGGAGGGCTTCTCTGTTTGAAAGTCTTGTGCCATGTCGCTATAGGTTCCTGGAGGACTCACCTGTACCTGGTCATCACGATTGCTGTTTTGGGTGGTGCTGTGGTTTTCCTTGTCATTTTTGCTATTGCTTGTGCTAGAAAGCCCAAAAATGGTGAGTAGATTGTTGTGGGGAGCTTGATTGCCTGCCCTGGTTTGGCTTTGAGGGCTCTGTGGGCTGGGGTTGGTACTGTCCTCACAGCTTTGTGTGACAGCTGTGACCCTGGTAGCTGAACTGTGAAGACACTTACCAAAGCACACACAAATCAAAATAGGTGGTGAAAGACTGAAAAAGGCATTTTCTTTTTAATTAACAAACACAGAATATATTTATTCTTGAACACACAAGAGCACGCAAACATTTTTTAAAAATTATTTTTGTGAAGAACAAAAGAACAGCAGAACAGCATCTTTCTAGCAGGGGTGGGCAGGTAGGGCAGGGCACTGTGCTCTCTCCAGCCCCATTCCTATCCCCACAGTCCCATCACTCTGCCTTGGCCCCTTCCCTGCCCCAGCCAGTGTCCCCCCAGGGAGCAACAAGGTGGATTCCTGAAGGTGGGAATATCTGGAAAGAGCTGTGGTTTCTTTGTTGGTTTTGCTTGCTTTCTTCCCTTTTTATTTTTATTCCTGGGGCACATTAGTCATAAAATGTACTGATGCATATGTTCAATTCTTCCTTTTTTTCAGAATCCATCTATGAAGTTGCTTTGTAAGTACAATTTTTCACCTATTACGTTGAGAGCATCATACTGATATTTGTTTCAGAAAAGCCTTTTTACTCAGTGAAAAAACAAAGATTTCTTTTATCTGGCTGGGATAGAGTTAACATTCCTCATAACAGCCCTAACATTGCTTTACATTTGTGCCTAAAACAATGTCAGTAACCCCCCAGGGATTTGGCTATTGCTGAGCACTTGTGCAGCACCAAGGCTCTCTTTCCAACCCACAGAGGCCAGCAGGCCAGGGTGGGCAACAGCTTGGGGGGTACGCAGCCAGGACAGCTGACCTATCCTAACCACAAAGATTTTCCACACCGTATGACACCCAGCTCAGCAATAATGCTGAGGGATGTGGGAGGAGCTAGGGGAGGCATTTCTGGTTACATCGATTGCCTTTGGAAGCAACCATCACGTGTTCTGAGGCTCTGATTCCCAGGCAGTGGCTGGGTATTGCTGGCTGATGGGAAGTAGAGAATGTTTCCCTACTTCTTTTTTGATTGCTTCCACACATGGCCTTTGCTTTTGTCATTAAAGTGCCACTAACTTAATTCAAGAACTTGTCTATCTTATATTCTCTCCATTATGTTGAGGACGTGGAGTGAGATAGCAGCTGTTAAGGGGAACTTAGTCCTCATTCTGAAGAATGCCTCTTTGTTTCAGCCACAGCACTGCAGATGTCATTAGATCAGACACTGATGTGGAAGTCCCTGTTAAGTGCAGAAAAGAGAAGATAAATTCTGAGGCTGAAGAATCCTATGAAAATGTTACCACGATGTGCAACAACTATGAGAGCATAACAGGCAACAGCTATGAGAGCACATGTCTGAGTAAAAATGCTGAGAGTGAGACCCTTGTGAATGCAATGGAATCAGAATATGAAGTACAGAACTTTCTGTAGAGTACCAGCATTTCCACATGAGCAGCTGTGCAGAAGATGAGGCTACAGATATTGAGCGGTAAACTTTACCAAGGGAAACTATTCTTTCTGTCTGCCTTCTCCTCTGATAAATATACCAGTTTTACTGCTTTCTTTAACTCAGGGGAACTTCTTAGGATTTGGCAAACGAGTCCCTGCCCATTGGTGCAGAAACTTTCAGCCAAGTGACTGTCTGTCCATACATTTTCAAATAGCAAATAATTTCTGAGCAGCCTGAAGGAGCAAAAGTGGGAAAGAAAGGATCTGAAGGAGTGGGAACAGAAATGTCCTTTGCCTCCAGGTCAAGGTGCAGCTAGGTGCAACACTGCTGGCCAATAACACCAGCAAGGTGCGCTCTCAAGTGCATGTTCCCCTCTTTGGGCATGCCAGACTGTGAGGAGCCAAGAATTGTACTGGAAATGGATGGCTTCTGGCTTTTAAGTCCAGCAGATACTGGTTGTACTGCTTGTTTGTTCTTGAGTTGTCTTGTTGTTAGAGGATAGTAAAGAGACTACGGAGGGGGTCGATATTCCAGGAATATCATTTAGCAATCAAACTGGAGCTCATCACAAGTGGGAATAACCCTGTAGGAGATGAGCCTCTTAACTGGCACCCTCTGTTTTTCTCCTGGCAAAGCAGAGCTGGCGTTGAAGGGATTACTAGCACTTCATTTTGCAGCATGGAAGCCAGAAGCATGATACAAAAGCACTGCAGAGAGAAATCTAAGGCATTTGGAATAGTCACTGAGTAAGTGAGATCCTGGATCCAACAGACTGACACTGACTCACTGTATGGGACATGACTAAAGCTGCTTACAACTGTGCTGTTCGTGCTTGTCTATCTAATGAGGGTATTGTGAGCCTTCATTTCTAAAATGCCTTGAAAAGTGCTTGATTAGTGCATTGCCATTTATTTCCCAGGGCAAATATAAAGTACTTCAAATATGCATTCTGGCTTTCTTGGTGTTTTACCACACAGTGCATTCATGTCTGTTGTTTGTAAATCCGTGCTCTTGCTCTGTCTTCTGGTTCAATTCTGCAGAACAGATAGGAGTACAGACCAGACATGGCCAGCATTTGACTTTTGGCCTTTGGCACAGTAGCCCACAACATCCTTTTCTTCAAATTGGAAAGATGGATTTGTGGGTGGACTGGTCAGTGGACAAAGAACTGGACGCAAGATCAAGGCCAGAGAGTGCTTGTCAATGGCTCAATGTCAGGATGGAGATCAGTGATGTGTGGTGTCCCCCAGGGGTCAGTACTGGGACTGATGCTCTTTAATATCTTCATCAGTGACATTGACATCAGTGGGATTGAGTGCACCCTCAGCAGTTTGCTGATCAACCCAAGCTGTGGGGTGTGGCGGACACACCAGAAAGATGGGATGCCATCCAGAGGGACTGAGACAGGCCTGAGCAGTGGGCCCAGGTGAATCTCATGAAGTTCAGAAAATACAAATGTGGGGTCTTGCACCTGGGTTGAGGCAACCCTCACTACCAATACAAACTGGGGGATGAAAGGAATGAGTGCAGCCCTGCTGAAAAAGCCCTGAGGGTGCTGGTGGATGGACAGCTGGACAGGAGCCAGCAGTATGCCTCACAGCCCAGAAAGCCAACTGTATGCTGGGCTGAATCAAAAGATGCATGGCCAGCAGGGCAAGGGAGGTGATCCTACACCTCTACTCTGTGTTGTGAGGCTTCACCTGGAGCACTGCATCCGGACGTAGAGTCCTCAGTACAGGAGAGACACAGACCTGTTGGAGAGCATCCAAAGGAGGGCCACAGAAATGATCCCAGGGACGGAACACCTCTCCTATGAGGACAGGCTGAGAGCTGGGGCTGTTCAGCCTAAAGAGAAGGCTGCGAGGTGATCTGAGAGTGGCCTTTTGGTATCTAAAGGGGAGCTATGGGAAAGAAGGAAACAGCCTCCGTAGTAGGGTCTGTGGTGATGGAACAAGGGTAAATGGCTTCAAGCATAAAGAGGGGAGATTTAGGTTGGAACAGGTTGCAGAGAGATGTAAAGGATACTCCAACCCTGGAGACTTTCAAGATAAGGCTGGATCAGGCCCTAGGCAACCTAGGAGCTGTGCATGTCCCTGTTCTTTGCAGGGGAGCTGGACTAGATGACTCTGAAGATCCCTTCCAACTCTAAGGACTCTATGACTCTGTGACTTGGAAGTTTGACCTGGGTTTCCTTTTTAGAGAGGGCAGGTGAGAGGCATCAAGTCGTCCCACACCGCACCCCTCTCATTACTTCAGCCAAAGTTGCAGGCACTGCAGGATGGCTGTGCTGCAGCACCAGGATGCTGAGCTTCCTGAGCTGCAGGTAGCACCCAGCAGGACTGTGTCCCCAGGGCCCACGTGGCACTCACCCCCATGCTAAGCACTGATCTGCACACATGTGCTGCTGGTGCTCCCACCTGCCTGCTCCCTGCTCCTGCCTGCTGGAGAGGAGGAGCTGTGTCCTGGCTGAGGATAAGAAGTGCTGGGATTGCTGGAAATATGTGCGAGGGGTTCTTTTGCTTTATCTCTGAGGTAGCTCATCCACAAAGGGCTGCGTGCTCTTTGTAACTCGTGCACTCACTGCAGAGTGCACCTCACAGAAGCTGGCCCTGAAGGTGCAGGGTTGAAACAGCAGTGTTGGTGCTGGCAGTCTTGGGTGCAGCAGGCAAAAGAAATAAGGAAAATGGGGAGCTGCAGCCCTTTGCACAGGGAGCAGAAGCATATGGCATGAGGCCAGTGCTGTGTCTGAAGGAACTGAGAGCTTCTCACCTTCCCAATTGTCATCGCAGCAGACAAAATGTAGAACCTGGCTCTCTTTTCTTCTATTCCAAGTCTCAAGCTCATTCATTTACAGCTAGCCTAATGTTTTATGCAAGATTTACTTCCAATATAAGCTCCTGACTTGAAGTTCCCTCACTGATTATGTAACAACATGGTTTCCCCAAACTTTGATTCCTCCCAGCATCACTCTTCTCTGAGGAACTCCAGGCAGTTTCCTCAGGAGCCCTGAATTCTAGGAGAGGCTGCAAAGGAAAAAAGAACAGGAACAAAGAAAGAGGTAGCAAACACCCCAGCTGGAGCAACTCCTGAGCACCACAGCTGTTGGCACTGCCTCCAGTCCAGGCAGCAAAGGGGCCTTGGTCAGCAGGGAAAGAGCAGTGGAAACACACACCTCCTCCAGGGCCCAGGTTGTTGCTCCCTCTATGCACCGTGTGGTTATTTTTTTATTTATTTTTTCTGTGTGCTTGGTAGTAAAAGCTGTTGGGAACAGAACATTTTCCTTCTGGAAGCCATAGAGGGCTCCTCTGTGTCACATCTCCATCAAACAGGAGAACTTCTCCTTTCCTTGTGCTGGTCGTTCACCCGGTGACATGACTCATCTGACAGAGCACAGTTCTACACCAACACAGAAAGGGAAACCTCAGCTTCCGCTCCGAAACTACAGGGTCTCCAGAAAAGTACGCTATTTCTAGCAGCCAGCACAGAATCATGAGACTTGAAGCTCCCCTCGCTTCTGTACAGCTGCGCTTCTGTACCTGCTGGCTTCTAAACCGCCAGGTGTGGCCGCCCCTCAGAGCCCTCCCCAACCTGCTGCTCTCGACAGAGAGAGGAGAGGAAGTCTTTGGTAGAAAAGTTTGTCCCCCTCTACGTTGATATTTCTCATAGAATAAGAATGGATTAAAGCAAAAGTTGTAAATGCATAAGGAAACAACTGTAAAGAGCTTAAAATGAATACAGGGCTAGCTGTACTGCACAACACTTCAGGCCTGCTGCAACCTGGAGGTCTGTGAGGGTGGCAAGGGCTGGGGCTGATGTATCTGCCAGCTACATTGAGGATCCACAGAGGACAAAACAAACCCTGAAATAATAGACTTTGTTCTCTTTTGAAGCTGACCTCAGTGATACTGATCAGAGCGATGTCTGTGAGTCATGCGTAGGTGTTGGAAAGAGACCATGGGAGTGTGAGTCACAGCGGGTAGGACCGTGTTTGTCCCGAAGCACACAATGAGCCCCGCTGATAGGACTTATTCAGAAAGCAGAACACTGTTTGCTTAGGCCAAACTAAATGCTAATTGGCCCCAGCTTTGTACAAACTCCAACTTCTTCAAAATATTTAGGGGGGAAAAAAAGAAGCTTAGTATTAAAATGTATCAGTATTCTCAAATAGCACAAAATTTGCTGGTGGTGCTGACCTAAAAGAAAGGCCAGTAGAGCTGTGGGATTTTTCTCTCAGCTTCTGAGCAAAGCAGTTAGTCAAACTGGGCTCTTGTGCTCTGTCAGCTGCACCCTCACTCACCAAGGGCTACCTCAGGCTGTGTCTATGCTACAAGGCTGTCATTAAAAAATGCTAAGAGAGCATTAGATCTTCAAGCATGATCACTTAGAATTCTTTGAACAAAATAGAAGTGGGGCAAAAACAAGAAGCAGCCTTGCTGCAAGTGCTGGCTAGGAAGACCCAGCCAAAGCCAAACAACAACGCTGCAATGAAAAGTAATGGACTGCATGGTCTTTCTTAAAAACAGCCCAGTTCTGTTCTCCCAGTGCAGAGGAACTGTACCAGCACTCCTGTAGCAGTTTGCCACTAGAATACCACTGCAACAGGCACCCCTGAGACCAGGGTGGAAAGGAAGTCTGACAGCATGAAATCAGCGGGGCGGTTTGTTCCATACCTCGTTGGGTTTTTAGAGAGGAGCAGAATATGGGTGTGAAGGAGTCCAGCGCCTCGGTGCACGGCCGTGTTGCTCAGCAAGTGCCTCACTTGGGGTATTTGACAAACTGACACTCTGCCAGACTGAGTGTCAAACTCAGCTTGTCAAATACACGCAGTGCTGCACTGCAGCTCTCACCAGGCTGTCACCATCCTCGCTGCGGTGCTGCCCTGGGCGAACAGAGAAGGAAAAGAGGGCTGAAGCTGCTGTTAACTCCAGAGGCATATTCCATTTAGCAAACCATCGTCATCCCTCCTATACTTCCCCATACCAACACAGCTGGGAGGGGGCAGATGTCGCCTTCCTGCTGAGCAAAATGCTGTATTTATTGAAATGCTGAAGATCTGTGGAGCTGGAAATAATGCTGAGTTCTGAACTCACCCTTTAGCTAAAGATCAACTTTGATAGCTTGAAATATTGACAAAATATCCATCTGAGCACTCAGACATGCCATTTGGGTGTAACGTCATGAAGACAAACGTCTCTCTAGACACACAGCGTCTAGACAAAGACCTGGAGAACATATTGCAGGGGAACAATTCTGCACAGGGCAGAGATAAGAGCATGATTTTTCACCAGGCTTCTCACCACTTTCATTTCTGTTCTCCTAAGCTTAAAAGAGTTTTTGAGGGCTTCTCATACTTCTTTTATTTGCGTCTCTGTTAACTTTGCAATCAAGTTGTCATATGCTTTCCAGTGCCCAATTCTAGATATGTATTTCTGCTATAACCAGTCTGACAGATCCCAAGGAACACAGACTGGGGTGAGATCCTGGCTTTACGCACTCCAGAGTTCCTACTGACAGGAACAGGATTTGTGTTTTACCTCATATTATACACTAACAGTTAAAATGGATCTTTCTACCTAGAGATTTGAAAAGGGAACCCTTCAAGCCTATCTGGAAAAAGGCACAACTCTGCCTCACAACTCTGCTCCCAAAGTCTGCTCATTATAAAGACTGTGATGTTAAAAACTGAGCCACTCCACAGAGAAACACTGAACTTCTCTGGGAATGAAGTGAAACTTTATTTTCCGCTGCCGAATTAATCCCCCTCTGCTTCATTTCCAGCACACAAAAATCTCTCCTGCAATAATAGAGCTCTCCACCCTCATACATGGACATTCTCCATGTCCCTTTAGGTGTGGACATAACCTTCCCTCTCCCATTATTCCTTTGCACAAAGGCCAGAAGATGCTGCCAGTTCCCCTATTCCTTTAACAAGAGTGGGAATTAAATTCAGAAAAGCACCTGAAGAACATTAAGCAAACTAGACAATAGTAATAGCAATATCATCTCTTAACTAGTACTGTGATGGGATGCTGACAGTTCAGAATTCAAACAGCCTTGAATACCAACATGTGCAACTCTCTCAGAAATTCATTGTGATTCCTGAGCTGTACTCATCCCTCATAACATTGAGATCCAGTGCCCATCACAGCTCAGCAGGCCATGCTCAGCTGTGGCCTGGTTTGAGTCATGGTGCTTTTTGCTGCCTTGCTTCTCCCCTCATCTTCATTTCACATGTCTTGCAGCATCAATTTCTGAGAAGGAAGCTGAGCTGAAGTTTATTCTAATTATACTTTGGAAGGACAACCACTAAAGACACAAAGGTAGAATTTAGCTGAGGTGTGTTAACAGCATTCTGCAGTGAGCAGTATGAAGCCTTTATCTGTCTCTGACTTCTAGTATTCTATTTTACAAGGATCATTGTAGGAATTCATCAATATTACATCAGAAATAAAGTGAAAAGGGATCTTTGGTGTTTCATTGTTGTTTTTTTTTTCCCAAAAATTAAAGTACAAATTAAAAATTAAAGTACAAATTAAAAAATGATAGTGGCACATCTGTGCCAAAGATGCGCTCTTCATATGAGCTCCAAAACCCGTACAGTGAAAAAGGATTTTACAGCAAAAAAACAGAGACAGCCTTAAAGATAAAATCAATTTCCAGGCAAGGTTACTACATTGGCTTTGCAAGTCTTGCAGAGGGCAGGGGAATATATCAGGCCTTCAGGGAGATGTAGATAGTGAACAGCTCTTTGTTCCGCCTCCTAATTTAGGGTGAGTTTCAACCACAGATAAAAGTAGTATGTTGCAGTGGATAAAATAATTATGTGCATTTCACACTAGAAAACTCGTGTCAGTGCTAATAAGGTGATTTAAGATCATTCTAGCAAAATACACACTGGTTTAAGTGCAATTAAAACAGGTACATGGTGAGCCAAATGGCTCTTCTTCCAAATCACCCTCTGCTGTACTGCAGGAAATGAAAAAATAAGGGGTTTACACAGCTGCTGTCAGTCTTAAAAAAGGCAGGATAAGATCCCTCTGCCCGAAAATGCTTTGTCAGTAAGAATTCAACACTGCACACTGAGGAGAGCAAGGGATAAAAAAAATAAACTTCCCTCACTGACTCAGAACATCAATGTGCAATGGAGGGGTTGTACAGAGACTGAGTAGGAATCTGCCACGGACCTGCCCTGCTTCAGTGCTGATTGCTAACTGGAAGACCTGGCCTTGAGAGGAAAAAAAAATCAGAAAGCCGGCATTGCTTCTGCTCCTGCAGCTGAAAATAACCCCTCACTGCAGCTGGGTGGGGGGGAACAGCCACAAGAAACGTTGCTGTCAGCAACGGATAAGAGGAGGGTCACACAGTGGAGATAATTTCTATCAGCAGATGGGAATGGAGCTCACTACTCCACCCTGTAATGATGGTATCTCTTCTGAATAGATCTGTCACTGTCAGAGCTTCTGGTTTCAGGCTGAAAAGGGTATTTCCAACTCAAAGCTTAGCTGTAAAACAGATCAAGCAATCAGCTTTATTCTCTGGGGGAGAAACAGAAAGAGCTTCCTGCATTCTCCAGTTAAGTCCCTTATTGAAGTTAGGGGGGAAAACCAAAACTTTCCTAAGTCACTCACCATCTCTCAGGGGATTTTACATGGCTACCAGACAGGTCTGCAGCCTGTGATGAAAATAAATCAAAAGTAAAATTATTGCATACATTTTTCTCTAAGCCTGATAACAGCATGCACAAATATGCAACCGTGTGTTTCTCACACACTGAGTGGCAGCACCCTAAGTTGAAGGCTACAGCCATTCCAGGATATGCACTTATTGTGCAGGATTAGCACTGGAATCCAGGCCATCTCTGTTTTCTGCTCAGTGAAACCCAAATAGCAGCCGGGACTGAAAGCAAGAATTCCCACAGATGTGTGGGAACCAGGTCTGCTGTACCATGGCTGTCAGTAAACCTTGGGACATGCTTCTCCAGGAACTGGAAGCCTTCATTAGAACCAAGTCAAACTTAAATAAGCATTTGCTGGTGGCAGACTTCCCCTGGGTGCTGTCCTGATCCATTCAGGATCTTCCTGTGCTCCCAGCCCTGCAGCTGACACTGCTGAGAGCTTTGCCTGATAAATGTTGGAATATTTGGCACAGTCCAGTCTTATCTATCAGGCAGGCTCCAATGAAGCCTGGAGCTGCAGCTCAAAGGGTTTACTTCATTGCAGGCAAGCTGGGCTGTATATCTCTTATAGCTCCCTGTAGCACATCTGCTGGCTTGAATGAGACAGCTAGCAACTTAAAAACGGAGCAAGAGGCCAAATGCAGCATCTAGTTAAATAATAACTTCGGCTCCTCAGCTGGAAGGTGCCAAAGCAGCTCTGAGCTGCCTCCTTTGTCATACAGAGCAGCTCCAGACTGAGCCCATCGCAACCCAGGAACACAGCAGCAGCAGTGCAGGGAGGCTCAAGGGACAGCCCCATTCCTGCCCCAGGAGGCAGCCTCTCCCCCTCTGGCTCTGCAGCAATTAGAAGGGCCCTTGCCTCTCACACCAGACTGCCAGGAGCCTGTGGGCTGAAGGTCACTGCTGAGCCACTGCTCTGTCCTAAAGAAAGCTCCTAGAAGCCGAGACTCAGCAGTCGCATTGGGGAGCACCTAGCTGAGAGCCTACAGTGCTCGGTGAGGGCCGTAGGCACCTCGCAGCCACATGTTCCCACTGCCACTCACTCACATTGCCTTACCTTGTCCATACAGATCCACACATGCTCGGTTTAGTCCTGCTTTTGTAAAGAGGCTGAGAGCAGCACAGACTGGACATCCCCTTTTTGGCCCTGCTCCTCCATCTTGTCCTATAAGTCTAACTTTCCCTCTTCAAACTTATTCCAAAAGCAAAGAACATAATTCAGCACTCTTTCCCCTCGTACAACACAGCCCCACTTCCAACAGGAAACTGCACGATTTCCTACCTCCATACCTTCCCAGGAGTAAGAGGCAACAAAGCAGACAGCCAGCCCCAGCTCCGGGTGCAGAGCCGTAAATATAAGGCACCTTCTACCAGCTGCAAACGCTCTGGGAAAGAGGCTGTGGGCTTTGGCTTTGGCTGCAGGAACAGCTTTCGAGGACAGGAACCCGAAATGCTGTAACTGGCACCTCGCATCTGTGCAAAAGTGGTGGGAAGGACCCGGTCACCGCATTAGCTGGTAGCATGGCCACATGCCCTCCCACATCATCCACACTCACCTGTGAGCTCCAGCCCCTTCCCCAGCTGCTTTGCGATGCTGACTGGAGGTGTGGGAGAACCTTCATCTGACAGCCTGGATCTGGGAAACAGCCAAGAGAAGGAGCTGAAGGACATAACCATGCCCAGCTGGGACACGACTCCCCAGTACACCCTCCTCCATCCCACAACTTCCCCACTCTTCGTTGATGTCTCATCTATGACTAGTTGAGATCATAATCTTGCTACAGCCAGTAACATCTGTAGCATGCCTGCATGTGCCTGCAGGAGCCAGGGAAAACACATGCATCCCAGCATTAAGTAGGGTATGGACACCACTTAGTATTATTAATTCCTAATTATCTTCGTTACTGAATCGCTGTCCCAAGGGCTGCATTCTCCAGGTAGGATGGGCTGTGTCTGCATCCTCCAGCTCTGCACTCACAGAAGACACACTGCCCAACCACAGCTCCTCCCCAAAGGGGAATACCAACAAAGCTTCCCTGGCTTTGCAAGAAATGCTCTCGACACAGAAGGAGTAACCAGACCTGAGCTCCCATCCCCCAGAAGCCAGAGGTGCAGTGTCGGCAGCGCAACCATTACACCTTTCCATGTGGCCAGGTCATCCCACACGTTTTGGCACCCCAACCCCAGTGACCCACAGAGTGATCCTCCCTCTCCCCTCAGCTGCAGAACAGACCTCTGGCACCTACCAGGCAGAGGCAGCAGTGTGGGGCTGGCTTGGCAGCAGGGCACAGCTCAGGGAACACAGCTCAGTTTTGAAGGGGCCGCTCCTCCTTCAAGAGGAAGCTGCAAATGGGGAAGATAAGGCTGAGGTTAGATAACAGGAAACGTCTGGAAGCAAGTGACAACACGTTCAGGTTGTGAAAGCAGCTCCCCATCCCATACTAGTGTGCAAGGCTTGGAGAGGGCAAGAGACAGCTAGGATGACCCCCAAGCCCTCACTTTGTGCAGCCAAGTCACTTCAGCAAGCCCCAGCCTTTGGAGCAGAGCAGCCAATCCCTCACATCCCAGCTGAGGGCATCATCCTGCTTGCCCTGCTGTCTCCACAGGGAAGCAGCTGCATGGCTGTGCTGGCTGACAGCATCACAGCAAAGCTGGGCTGGGCAGCCCAGAGGAATTGCAGGGAGAGCTGGGAAGGACACAAAGGCAGGGACCACCAAGAAGTCCTTGGCCCAAGGAACAGACTCATCAACGTGCTTGACCCAGAGGGGTTTCTTGCATCTTCATCTGCATAAGCAGCAGGATAAGGGCTGCCAAAGTCCTGCCTCTGGAGCTGCACCCAGACTTTGTTCAGCATCATCCAGAGTTATAACCAGAGCAGATCCTCTGTTTCTTACATCATGGCCTGCCTGCAGTACAGGGTGCCCTGGGGTAGATGGTCCATCATCCCTCAGTGCTGCTTTCATCTAACTTGACTGGCAGCAAGGCAAGTCAATACAGCTGTACAGACAGAGGCCAGTGCAGAAACTAAACCGGTCCAAGCAAAAGCAAAAACTTTAGAGGGGAATTCTTTAGTGTGGTCAGTATGGTGTACCATATTACGTAAGGACAGGACTCATTAATAGTGTTACTTTGTGCCTCCATTATCCCAAGCACGTATGCCAGCAGCAGTGCCACCATTAAGATGTGGGATCCTTCTCAGGATCCATCTTCTCACTCCCAGCACTCAGCTGCTGTCCTCACTTTCCAACTTCTAACTCTCAGGTTTTCCTTCCCAGCCTTCCTACTCCAATCCCAGCTCTGATGCCAAACCACTCAGAGCTCTTCTCACATCTGCTGCCCCAGTCCTTTGGCTAATGCAGGCCCCAGCAGCAAGTGCTACATAATCTCCAGCAGCTTTCAGTTATGTTATCAGCAAGCTTGGGTTGCAGCCATTTGTTTATTACATCCCTGCAGTTCTGTCCAAAGCCCTGATCTGCAAGATATGTATGCCAGGGACTGTGCACTCCAGGATCCTTGGGACTGCTCATGGGCTGCTCCTGGGCTTGTGTGTAGGTGCCAGGGAGGCCAGCTCTCCTGCTGAAATCCAAACCTGACACTTGTGCTGAGGGATAGTTAGATAATGAGGAATACAGTTACTTTCAAGTTCCTCTTTCATCTGCCTGTGTTTTAAAATACATAATAAAAGAGGAATGGAAAGGTCTGGGTGGTTTATTTCTGTTTTTACTTTGGTTTTAGTTAAGGCAAAGAAGCAGGCTTCATGTAGCTTTTGTAGCCTTTTTCTAGCCTTTCTTTTTCATTCTCCTTCTTTTGCTCATGCCGAAAAGGCTTTAAAATGGATTAACACTGAGGTTAGGGTCTAGAGCAAGAAAAAAAGGGCAATTTTATTTTCACCGTTTGTGGGTACGCAGTGCAAATAAAGTGCTGAAAAACAAAATGCTTGGTCACTCATATTGGAAGACAACTCAGGGCTGAATTTAAGAGTAAGAGAACAACCCAGGCAAATACCACAGCATTTTGTCATTTCTGAGAGCCCAGACAAATTCAAATCCAAATTCTTCAGTCCACACTCTAATCTCATATTGGTCTTCTCTGCATTCTCAAACTGAAGCAGCTAACAGTGCCTCTCCCTTTATTTTCTGCTATGTGAACAAAAGATCAGAATTCTAATCACTCATCTTTGCTAGTTTCTATAACAAGTTTGTAGCATTACTAATAAAACCCTGTCAGCCTGTTTCTGAACATCTGTGGGACTTCCTGTATTTTACTGGAGATAGTGCTGATGCACAACAGCGTGGATCAGAAGTGATTCTGACCCACAGGCAAAAAAACTCAGAACCTGAAAAAATGCACTCAAAACGTAGAAGCTATTCAATAGACACATTAGGAGAACAAGAAAAAATTCCTCCACAGATTTACTTGCCCTTACCATTTTGTGACACAGCAAGTTAGCTGCCAGCAGGATGGAGCCAATCTCCGTACTGCTCTGAAGGAGTCAAGTTCTCCAGGAGGTCAGAGTGGTTAATCAGAGTGATCTCTTTTGGCCACTCCATCTCACAATTAATGGTGAGAAACATCAAACTCAGATGCCTAAATGTAGCCCATTAAATCTGCAGATAAAGCTATTAGGTGCAAACAGCCTTATGGCAAAGACTGCAGGCTCCCAGCCTCCTCACTGCAGGACTGCAGGCACTGCAGATCAGGTCCTTTGCATTTCAGGAAATTAGAAGGCTCATTCCAAGTGTGGTGCTTTTGTCCTGCTCATTTTTGTCACCCGGCTGCACCTGGTAGCAAACCTTGCAGATCTGGGAACAGCATCATGCTGAAAATTGGTCTTTGGGTATTTCATGCTCCCCTTGGGTGGCTGCACAAATTAGTACTGGCTTTACACATCTAATACAAGAAACAGACTGATTTTAAAAGACATTATGGAACTGAATCAGTGTGAAGAGAAACATGACTCTTAGCATCCAATAAAAAGGCCTAAGGCACAGCTGCGAAACTCACACTGAGAGCTGAGATCCTGCACTGTCAACATGCACTCCATGGTACCTCCAAAGCAGCTAGGTTGAAGCTTATTCAGGTAGGCCACCTTCAGCCAGACTTCCTAGCAGACGTGCCAGCACAGACCATTAGGTCTGACAGAGGATGATCCAGTGCCTTTCTCTAGTCAAGACATTGCTTTGCACGGCTCCCAGTTGCTGCATGGTCCGGGAAGCCAATAGCGATGCCTAAGGTGGACGTTTCACAGCAAAGCTGACTTCCTCCACAGCTTACAAATGTCACCACACCACCCCACTCAGTGCAAGAGCCTTGAAATTGCACTCTTTCCTAATCAAGCTAGCTTTTTCAGTACATTTGCAGCATGCAGCTCTGTGGCCTGTTCTGGGAAGTGGAAAAAAGGAGAGAGAGAAGATAGGAAGGATTACAGATGGCCAACTAATACAGTCTCAGAGGTTTCTACACACTGTTCCCCAAGCCACAAAATTGTCTTGGAAAATAACTTGAAGTGGCTGAAATGGCTCACGTAGCCCATCTGATCAGCCTGCAGCAAATTCTCTTGCATTGTAGTTTCGAGTCACTGTACGTTTTGTCACGAAATCAGCCACAAAGAATTAGCAGGTTTGTACTGCACAAAGAACAATCCCTTCTCATTCTGCATCTGTGCTGCTCTGTATTCATTGATCTGTACCAGTTGGTGAAGACCAAATGAATGCTGAGTTTGCTCCACTGCTCAGTGTACCTTCCCAGAATCACAGGAGAATTTTCCTCGTAACAGTTCATTCCATAAATATCTTCAAAGCCAACAAGCTCCTCTTGACAAAGGAATTAAAGTTGTATATCATCAAAACAGGATGATTACAGCCATCAGGGTGGTCTTTCAGTTTCCTTGGACAACACAGTTTTACCATTCAGCAGCACCTGAAATTGAGGTCATCAGTTTTTATGTCACTGTACAAAGTGATGCAAACATGAATTTCTCATACATCAAACTCTAGAAACACCAAAGCACTCCCCCTTAGATTCTCTTCCCAGGTGGAGTGCTATTCACTCCCACACTGGCTATTTGAAGTGTTATTTTCTCCACCGTTGGGTCTTGGAAAGCTTTCAGATTAAATCCCAAAGAGCCACCTGCTGCTGGAATTTCTCTTTAGAAATGTCTCTGTGAGCAGTAGATGCTGATGTAGCCAGTGGCAGCCTATGTCCAGGAGCCCTACTCCAGGGCTCCAAGGAAGCCAGGAGTGCCTGATGCAGCAGTCAGCTCCAAGCACAGCCCATGGCAATTTGTCCAGATGGCACTGAACTCTGACACTTCTCCAGGCAATGTTGGGGCGAAGCTGAGGAGAACAGTGTGAGCCTTGCACGAACGCGCAGGGAAAAAGAAAACAGTACAAAGAGGTTCTTTCACAAGTGACCATAGTGAAGGAGAGGAGGAAAGGGGAGGCCAGGAGTAATCACAAGGCTGATATCTGGGAGCAATTGTGCTCCAGGATTCTCCAGGGAGTAAGATGGGGTGAGTGTTGTCAGCCTTCAGGAGATGGTTGATGAAGCCACAGCTTAACTCTATAGACGCTAAAAAAACCTACAGCAATGCAGGAAAAGATGACAACTGTTCCTCAAAGGCCGAGCCATTCACAACACAGGAACTCACTGTGGAAGTCCTCCTGTAACCCAGGCCTTTAACTCCTGCAGCTGGGCATAGAGTAGGAATCTCTTCATCCAGCAAGCTAGGCTGGAGACATCGCACCCTCACCACTTGTCTGCCTGCTTGCTCGTTCCTTCTGCAAAATACTCACTTGGCTGCACACGCCTCACTGACCTGCCTGGGCCTTGACTTGTGTGAGCACTTTTCCCCATTTTGAATCCTTACTTCATTCAGAAAAGAAAAACCAAGTCAGCACAGCACATGTACCCCCAGTTTTGCTGTAAGAGCTGCCTCCCTCCCTTCGTGCCCCCTTCTCAGGCAGGCACACAGCACTAAGTCAGAGGCTCAACTCCAACCAATAGAGGATGTTTCTGTTTGTGGCTGATTATATGTTAGTCTCTTTTATTTTAGACTTCTGGTTACAAAGCAAAAAAAGTGAGAGAAAGAAGACAAACACAAACCAGGAGGCTCAAAGTTGTTTTCCTGATGGACAGCAGCAGATAACAAAACCACACTAACTGTCACAACCACTGAATGACCCAAAAGGCATTCTGTACTGCACACACTATTAATATTAGTATACAATGAAGACAGTTGAGCAAATGCTGCAATTCTAAAGAAGCAGAAAAATAGCACTACTTTATATCATTCAGAACACCCATATTTTTATGAGGAAAAAAAACAGATCTTATTTCATTTT